GAGTCCTTACTGAACAGAATGGAGGATATATTGTTCAATCAATGGATCACTTTTTCTAGGAATTTTCATTCGAAGATGAATCAAAAATCGGCGTGAACTTTTCGGACAACCCAATAATTTATGACCGAAAATAATAATTCTACGTTCCATCTGCCATGAAACATAAACCGATGACGAATTCACCCACACACAGATGTTTCCCACTCAAATAAAAATAGTCGGTTGAATTTTAGGCTGTTCTCAGCCGCGGTTAGGGAACAGCACTGCTGAGCAAGTAGATGGGGGAGAGCATGACAGTAATCAAGGGGTGCAGGAGGGAAAAATCATTGTATCCACGACATTTCAAGGTATATTCCATGCATTCCAAGGAAGATGTGGGTAGACATGGGCATGGCATACATGGGGCTTTTTTTTCAAAATAAACGCAGATGTGTTGGTCAAAATAGAACACCCATAGGAAAGCCACTGCTATACTGCAATGTATAGTATGCTCTTTGAAGATGCCAACCTTCAGCCTTATTGAATCGCTTCTTTACTTTCTCCTTGTGCGTCGGGTAGCCCTCCATTCCGAGCCGGATCTTCTTCAGACCTCTCGACTTCAATACCTAAAGCTCCATAATGTGATTTTAAAAGACAAACACTCCATTACTGAGTCAATTCTAATGAACATGATTTCAATGTTCTACCTGCTTTGCACAGTCTCGATTCTCGGCGTACTTGAAGAACTTGTACAAATGCGAACTGTACACCACATGGGTGGTCTCTTCGCCCATTTGTGGTGGATACTCATCATCCCAGTCCACTACATCTTCATCGAGTAACACAACTATGTGACATTCACGCTCACCATGCTGAAAAAGCTCCCAATTAAAAGTTAATTATACACCTTATTAGCCACGGAACTTCTAGAAAAGCTCCTATCGACCCACCTCTGTACTCGCAACTAATTGTGGGAGAATGATCTCTTCCAGGAAATTCGAGAATTGTTCCCTGGCTCCTTCATTCGACAACTCGTGCAGAAGTGCATGCAGATTTTGACATCTGTAACAGGAACAAATAACTCATAACCAATACCACAACCAAAAACTATACGACCTATATACTGCAAAGCATACACTGGAGATGTACTTTTAGATTCGTATGAGAGTAAAAAGGAGATACTGCGGCAGAAAGTCTGAATGGAAGGACAGGGAAAACCCCCATGAAACCTCCGAAAATTTAAACAAAAAAGAGATAAGTTTTTGCTGGCTTGTCAGTTGGGGAGGGCAAACTGATGAAGACTTTTTGCTGTTGTCAAGAAAAAACTAAGGCTACTGACAGCAACTTGGATTTGTCAAAAAGTGAAGTGAAAGCAATTAGTTGATTGATATTACTCACTTTACTGTGCTTGCATTGAATGGGATGAGAAGGTAGTCGCAAGCGTCGCGCAGTTCCGCTACAGATATGTTTGGAGGGCAGCGCATCTGACCATGGGTGTAGTACTCCAAAGCGACTCGGAAGCACGCAGCAGTTGTGCCATCAGCCACCTGGAAACAATGTCATTAAAGAAGACAAAAAAGACTATGCAGAAGAGCTTGAATTTTGGTTTTTATGTTCATGGCTCTTTCCGTTTTCCTTGCTATAACATTCGCAAAATGATCTGGGTGAAACTGTACGATCGCGAAGCCAAAGTACCACTTCGGTAGAACTTTCCTATCACTCCAAAAGGCAGGGTGAGCAACAGGCACAGTAAGCAACAGTACTAATATGATAGCAAAAAAAGAATAGGGACTGTAGACACTTACCACAAACTCGTCCCTCTCATTCGGAGTAACCATATCTGCGCCTGCTCCTCTGGCATCACGCATGGCGAACATTCGCCCAAGCATCGTGTCTGGGTGAGCCGTCAAAAGTTTTTGATCAAGCAGGAAACGCATGTCGTCACACACCAGACAGACTTTGTTTTCTGGAAAAGTGGCTTTTGTTGAAATGACCGGAGCCAAACTATTCAATAATCAACAATTATTGTCCTAGGATGTTAAATCTCACTGTAAGCTTGATGATTAAAGGGTATCAATAAAACCACAAAGTGGTATGCCTGAAATGCTGACTTCGCTAGATAGAAGCATGACACCTGCTTAACCTCTCCTAACTCTTCAAACTTAAAGCCGGGCGCTAAAGACTGAGATCTCGATTCCATCCTTAGGGTATGCTATTCAAAACCAAATTTTTCCCTTCGTCTCTTCCCGCCTCTGGTATGTCCATTTGCTCCCAGAAGCAAGAATAGATTTCCACCCCGTTTCCCACCAAACGACTAGAACCTCTACTTTTTCAACCTGATCTAAAACTGGAGGATTTAGATGAAAGATAAAGAGTCAAAGGTCGATACACGGGGTTCCTAGATCTACTTTGCTGACCACTTGTCGAAACGACAAAAGGCACACATCATGGGACTAGTAAAAGGCACTGACTTAGGCACTCTTTCATCTGGGAGAACGTGGAGGGGGTGGGGGTAGGGGTGGGGGTTGAAGAGGACAAAGTAATGACAATGGTGCTCTGACCAGAAATAACAAGAATGTGGACATCTCAGTTAGTGTTGTATGAGTGCCTCTGTCTGTGGTAGTAACAACTACCAGAGAATACCTCCTTTACTGGTTCTGCAGAGCACTTTTCCATTAGGCAAAGTAACAGTCTTGCAGAATAACAAGATTATGACATGAATAACAGATTATCACGATACGAAGGGTAGCGCTTCATCGATGTACAAATTTAGGCCTGAGGTTACGGTAGCTTTCTGCAGCAGCAATTCAGTTGAGAATGGATGAGCAGGTACTTTTTCTTCAAACATCGTCTTCATATCGGAGCTTGAGAATAAATTTCCGATGAGTTGCCATCTTTCAGTGAGACATATAGGCTACACTACAGCGTTACAGGAATGCCATTATTTTCTGAGCGTTCACTGCACTCGAAATTACAAAAGAAAGTTTCTGCAGCCGGACTAAATCCTTCTTCGCTCGACACGTTCGGACAATATCGGTAAAAGATACCGATTGCTAGAAAAAACCTAAACCCACTCTCTCCGGGCGAGAGGTCGATTGTGGTGCCATTTTGACGAGCGGCAAGTTGAGACATGAGCGACTCGTGAGCCGGTCCACCAAGAGACATTGAGCGCTGACCGCGATACACAGATTGGTCCTAAATTTGGAACAATTTACATAACACTACAGTGAGAATTGGCATAAGAGTGAGTGATCGAATGAAAACGCCTATGCGGCGGTGCTTTGCACAGCTTAGAAGTGGCTGAGGCCCTAAATCGCTATGCGACTGACGGAATAAGTCGCTCTCGGAAATGGAAAATAGCCTACAAAAACAAATATCTGTAATGCATGATTACTGTAAGTATGTAAACATGGTGTAAACGGATTGATAGAAAATCTAACCCAAACAGGATAGTAAGGTCAGCATTCCCACTATCCACCAGTTTTACCCGCAAATTTTAAGTAAGATTGAGCCTTCCCTATTCATGCCATGCATATCACGAGGAGCTTCAAAAAACGTTTCATACCAACAAGCACCTCAAAAATACAACATACATTAACGTAGCAACCTAGGAGATCCTTTACTGAAGTTTATTTGCCATCTATTTTTGAAAACTACGCTCTTATAATCTGGCTGTTTTCTCGAGAATGATATCTGAGAACTGAAGCTCTGAGGCTTGTGAGCGATAAATCTGTGATATTTCGTCTAAAGATGAAGTAAGGCTTGTGAGCAATTTGTCCCACTTGGCGAGTAAATGAGCGATTAAGTTCTTGTAACATCAGTCAAAAACGACACGACTTAAGATTTCTTCAAAACTTCAAGAACAAATTAACACTATGGAAAGTAGTTGTAAATTTCCCGAAATTANAAGGATAGCTCAGAAAAAAAAAACTAGTTAACGACCATCCAACTGTCAAACATCCACCCATCCATCATCACCCACAGAAAAATGGAAAAAGTTAACCAAAACTGATATTACTGCTTTTTAACCTATGGACAGTATGAATATGTAAAAGAAAATGGCCAAAGTTGATTCCTCGTTGTAGTGGTTAGCTCCCGTGCAATACACTTATTCGGAAAAAGATTCTTCCTTTCTCCACCACTTTATGGCATCGCCCTTCCAGATTACTGTTCTTTCAATTATGCCTTTATTCTCATGACAGTCTATACTTCAACGCTTTATCGTCATGAAGGTATCAAGCTGAACCCTTTGAAAAAAATTTTGTTTGACTTATTGGGCAGATTTTCGAAAAAGTGCTGAAAAATGACAAAGTTTAGTTTCCCATATAATCTCATTTCACATTTTCGATTGGACTTTAATATGATCGACCGACCTTCTATGACTAAGTGACAACCCATTTTGTGACCCCAAAAATCAGTTTCTGGGCCCACCAAGAGTCAAATGCATTCACGTTTTTGGACTGAAGACGAGTCTCGGAGCGCTTAATTGTTTCCCGATCTATAATTTGTTTTATATGCCACATGAGGTTTGGTTGTATGGACAAGGGATAAACGCTCGAAATCACGTGAAATAAGTGAAGGTATCTTTGTGACATGAAATCGAAACGTGGGTATAAAGTACTGAATGAATATGCGTAAAGCGGAAGGCAAAACAGCGCACTTGAATGTCAACCAGAGTTACCTGTGAGAGGCGGAAACCTAGCGACGGGTAAATAAAAAGACATAAATCAGCCCACACAACATTGATGTCGTCAACAAAACTCTTGTTACTACTAATACCGACCATTCATAACAACTTCACACTACAAAAACTTTACCGTCTAATCATGAATAGACACTAACGCTTGCAATTATAATCGTCAATAAAATAAGCTGAGTGTCGAAAACAGCAAAATCTCTTTGGAAGTTCCTTCAAATAAAATGAAACCATAAATCAATACATAGGACGTAACGCTCTGAAGAGTAGCTGGTGGGAACACAACAGGATTAGGGCGATTACCTGTCAGAAAAGGAGTCTTCGCACGTTATCCACTAAAGCGATTAATTCAAAGGATCTCACTTACTACGACTGAGCTTTGATTAACAGTAAACTTCTCTCCGTCGCAAAACTGCTCAAAATGATCTCTTTCTTTCCTTAATACTTTCTCCTCAGGTTCTCCGAGTCGACTTCTATGGAACATCACTCCACTTTTGCAGACATTTCACCATCTGCTTGTCGATCACATTCATCATAACAAAAAAAAGATCTACTCCGCTTTCTCAGAATTTCCACGAAAGCGCTGGACCAAAAAACCGGCTGCTGCTCTGGATCCCGGATTCTAAGAAGTAGCAAGAGTGATGAGATGTGGCATGAAAAGAGCCACCCACACCGCGGAAGGAAATAAATTATGACGGAAATCCTCATTTCAGGCAAATTGTCCTGGTGCCTTTAACGAAATTAAAAATTTAGCACAAGTTGCAACCATTGAGACATCGACATCACATTAATTGAAACGAACAGGGTTCAATTTTCTCGATCTCTTCAACCGAAGAAGGTTGCCAAAGTTCCCAAATCTTTTGAACCGAAGAATGTTGCCTGGAGAGCTAACAGTCAGAAAAGTTGTCAATCACATTTTTTTGTGGATTATTTGTAGTAAAAAGGGAAAAGGATAAGAGATGGAGTAGAGCTGAGCAAAAAGAATAGAATAGGACTTCAGATAAGCCTGAAAGGCTGCGTTTAATAAAGAGCAGAGTGTTGCGTCATAGAAAGCCACGGAACACTTGTCTCTACACCCTCATCTCTTCGTTCGGTCCCCACATTTTCTTCATCTTCACACCAACCAGCTCACGCAATTATCATTCACTGAAGCATTAGGTCACTCGGGAAAAAATTATCCTTCGCATCTTATTGGCCTCTCTTCAACCCTAGAACAGGTGTTTCAGCTAGACACAGGATTTCTCAAGTGACAGGACAGATGGAAAAAATCAAGTTGATAGCCGAGGCAGGTGCACATGGAGTAGAAGTGGTTCGAACCATCTCGGGAACATTTCGATTTGCACAAGGAGGATTGAAGCATCAAATGCCGAAGCGAATGGA